AAGTCTGGAGGGTACATGCCTATCAGTTACACCTGGGAACAAGTCATTGGCCAGAATAGGTGTGGTCACTGCAAGTGTGGGAAATTTGGGACATTTAATCCCCTAAACCAGGGAGTTTGCTCTCTTGTTCCTCTTGGTTTCTCTTATGGTTTTTGGACTCTTGCTGCAGGGGGGCACACTCTTTGGCTTCCCTGCATTCACCCACATGGCCCATGACCACGGGGACCCCCACACACAGGGGACTAATGGACTGCAACCAGCCTGATGCTGAACTGGACCTGGCTGCGACATGGAAAGGAAACGCTGCACACTGGCTTTGCTTTTAGCTCTGCTGAATCCCCAGCTACACTTCTTCAGGGGCTGGATTAAGGGAAATGGGACGTTGGCAACCCAGAGATGTGATTCCACACAAATAAAAATCATTCATTCTTCTGTGAGCGTCTCAGAAAATTCTTTTTCTTGAGATATTTTAAGGACCCCACTTCAAGCACTCAGTGGGGAAAGTAATACTTCAACTTCCCCAATAATAGCTGGATTGTTTTCAAGTTTTAGTTTATCTGTGTCTTGAGAACATGCACATGAAGTGAAAGAGTAAAATAAGGCTATCTGGGATGTTATGAGGCTGCAGTTCCAGAAGATTCAGTGTTCTTCTGGCGGAAGCCAGTTCCAGCATGTCAGCAGGGCTGAATCATCTGGAAATGGCTGAAGGCATTTCCCCAAACCCCTGAAAAGGATGCATAAAATGATTGTTTGCTGCCAGACAGCTCAGGGCATCTCAATCTACATGTTATTGTCTCCTACTGGCCAAACACCTGAACAGCCGTAGGCAAATTCCCCCAATCTGACAACAGATTCTGTATAGTAGCCCTACTCTTTGATGTGTATATCTACCTTGCCTTAGGACAAATTGTGTTACTAAATAGTAAGGGGTCCTGAGACAAGGATAACTTAGTTCCTTTAGCTAAGTCTTCTCTGACTCCCCATAATGCCTTTCAAAATTATGTTTTGTCTCTGGACTCTTGATTAATTTACACACAGTGCTTCTCCAGATTTCTGAACCCTTCTAGATGCTGGATTAAGACCACCGGCATTATTCTTCAAATAAGCCTGGCTGGTGTGGCTCAGAAGTTGAGCGATGACCTATGAGCCAGGAGTTCATGGTTTGATTCCCGGTCAGGGCACATGCCTGGGTTGTGGGCTTGATCCCTG